CCGCTCCTTGAGTTTTCTCCACCGTTGGAAAGCTGCTCCAATATTTACACGGGTCCTACCTCTTGCCTGATCGTAACCCTTCTTTTTAATGTCCGTCCTGTGCACTCACCGAGCGCTCTCTTCTCCCTATCATTACTAGACATGGCCCTTTCTGCTTATTGGCAGCAAGTGTGTTTTAGAACTTAGCCCGACACTGTGGTCAAAAGCGTTTTTCAAATATTGTTGAGTGCACCTTTAACTCTGTATAATATGAAGTAGTGTTTACGATGAAACACACCGATGAAAACGAGGCTGTGAGGGACAAACTTGCAGTCTTTACAATGGCACAAACTGTATAAAAGTCCTATTTTAGTATAACATTATAATTACCATTCATATTTTTACTTTTTTATAATTTAAAGAAGAAACCAAACAGATGTATATTTGACATTTGAGGCTTAATACTATAGAAAAGTTTTTTCAGTTAGAGTGTTTTCAGCTTGTTTATTTTCATATAAAAATACGGCATGCAGTTACATCAAACAATGGTATAAACATCATTCAATGTAAATTGTGATAATCGTAATTAATCATTGCAATTACAATTTCAAGGGAATAATCGACAATTATGATTTTTGTCATAATCGTGCAGCCCTAGGTCCTAGATAATGTAATCTTCACCAACTCACAACTTTCAAAACTGTTTTATAGAGTTTATGCCTACTGAAAGTTGTTTTTTTTCCAGAAAAATATTTTGTCAGCTGAATAATCGGTATGTTGATAAACAACAGTAGCTATAATCCATTAAACGCATTGTAAATCCATCCTCCACAGACTCGTTTATATTCATGTCAAAAATTAAATATGTCACTACCCTAAGGTCTATAGTTATTTTTAGATGAAACATGGATATAAAATCAGAATCAGAATGGTATATACCTGGTTACAGAAAATGCATACTAACAAAGTGAAATAAATAAAAATTAAAACATGCCACAGGCAAATAAAGCTAGTCAACACAGTTAATCAAAACCACTTATGCAAAATGTTAGCATGCACACTAAACGCATCATTCCCAATTTAGTTTTTTAAACATCTCTTCTCCTGTTCACCCAACTGTCTTTAAAGTGCTTCTCTCCCCTCATTACCATGCATGTATTGGCCTTGCAAAGCCAATGTCTCCTGCAATCATAGAGGCCAAGGGGAGATTAATTAGAGACCTTGGTGCTCCTGTGACGGGCAAAGCAAACAGCCTCTCGCTCAGCCTGTAATTTATGTAATGCCTCCTTTACTGTGGATATTAGGAATGGCCTTTTTTTGGTCGATACTCTGGCACTGGGTGGTAATGATGCTTCAGTCTGCTCTCTTGCCTTTTCTGGACTATTCTGGGAGAGTGGAGGATAGAAAATAGGATGTTTTTTGTACTGTAACATCAAACAAAGAGTTTCAGAGTAAGTTCAAGCCCGGCAGAGTTCAGAGGCGTGCAGTGCATGTGAACTGTTGTGCTGGTTTTTGTCTTGGTTCTTTGTTAATGTTGAAAGCCCGAAGCGTTTAGAGACAAAATTCCTGTCACATTATCCGGTGGAGCTTCAGTGTGATTGAGGACTGTCATGGTGTTTGGCAAATTATTGGGTCAGATCCGAGTAGCGGTGCAATTGTACTGCCAGCCTGATGTGTAATTGCTTGTTTGTGTGAGGTCTTTTTGTTGTTTGTTTCAGTGCATTATACTGAGATAGATAATGGCTGTCCTCCCAGCTCTCAAAACAGTAAAGTGACATTTTTAGAGGAATTGGCAACAGTTTTGAGAGTCTATAGGCTCTTCTGAAAAGATTAAACTAATGGAGTATCACATGACGGGGAGATTTAGAGGTCTGGGGGCTTTTGGGCTCTGCGTGTAGTGCATTTAGATTTGTGCACTTTGTTCTTCTTTGGTTGTTTCACTAGTTCTCTAGTTAATTTTAATGTTAAACACTTTAGGGTTTATTACCAAAGGAATGCCGCCCTAGGAAACCTCCAAAATAAGTGCACATTAAAGCAAGTAAGTACTAACACAAAGAGAAAATGGTAAGCTATCAAGCTTTCTAGTGCTTATATAAAAAATTGAAGAAATGTGATGGCCAAATGTTATAATTTTTTAGTCTAAAATCAACTGCAACTGAAAGAACAACTGTCTTGGTACCAGATCAAAAAGAAAAAAGTTATCTTTGCGAATTGTCCTTAAAAATATAACTTGGTTGAAAGTTTCACTCAGACATATATCATATTGCAGAAGTAAAATGGGTCACAGCGTCGTTTTGTCTTACAAGCATTATTTACCCAAAAATGAAAATTGTCATAATTTACTCACCCTCATGTCATTTCAAACTTGTATGACTTTTTTTTTTGGAATACAGAAGAAGAAATTTTAACCCTTGTACTGTGCTGAAAATCCTTACCTAGTTTGGTGTTCTAGGTCAAAAATGACCGTCCTTTTAAAAATTGCTTGTAAATTTCTTATTATGCTATATTATTAGTAATTTTTTTGTCAGCTAGTTTTCTGTTTGCACAGATTTTGTATTTCTTTTTGGAACTGATTGATCATAGGCCTCATTGAACCTTGCATATGCACCTCAGTTTTTGAGTGAGAAAAAAAAAACATTATTTGTGGATAATTTGGCAGTGATCACTCAAAAACTGAGGTGCATAAGCTTAGATCAATGAGCCTACAATCAATCGGTTTCCATAAAGAAACACAAAAGCTGTGCTGATTGAAAGAAAACCAGTTGATAGAACACCACAAGTATAACCAGGTGGGGAAAAGACAAAAAAGTACAAAAAAAGGTGAGTTATTCTACCCTGTGTGAGCAAAGTAAGTTTTAGTCCAATGCAAAAACATCAACTATTATTGTTGGGGAAAAGAAAATCCTGATTGGAACACAACATAAGGGTTAAGATTACTTATATCTTATATATATATATATATATAAGGGCTGTCAATCGGTTAAAATTTTTTATCTGATTAATCACACCCTTTTTCTGTGATTAATCGCGATTAATCGCACACTTCATGAAATTAAGCATAGACCATTTATCTTGTTCCAAATGTTTATTTTGTCATCATTTGCTATATCCAGCAAAGTAAACCAAAAGATTGAAGGATGATTCTCAAAAATCTATATTTTCTGCAAGCTTTTTTCAAGATAAATTTAGATGTGTACGACTCCTGCATGCCACCGCAATCGTCTTTACCTTGATTGCAGTCTTCATCCATCAAAACTTTACAAGCGAGACTGGTTATCCAGTCGAGAATCCGTAGTTTGCGTCTCATCTGGCCATACAGCGGTGGGATGTGTTGACAATCCATTCAGTCTGTACTTCACACAGCTCTTCAGAGACGATCACAGAATATGACAGAGCTCGTGTTTTAATGCGAAACACAAAACGCAACGCGAGTCTCTGTTCTCTCTGCAATCTCTGATGTTATCAGCCTGGTTTCCTTTAATGACAGCCCTAATATATATATATATATGTGTGTGTGTGTGTGTGTGTGTGTGTGTGTGTTCCGCAGGTTTGGAAAGATATGAGGGTGAGATGTTCAAAGAATCTGAATTTTTCAGAGCTACTTCCTGCCACAAGTGGAAATTGTCACTTTTGGAATAAATTGTAGGCATTACTCATGTGTGGTTATGAGAGTGCTGTCTGCCAAATCTCTCTTTCCCCCTTTTTCTCGCTCACTTTCTCTCGCTCTCAGATAAATGAGAATTTATTCCTCCTCTTTGAGTTCTGACTTGGACAGAGAGAAAAGCGCAGGGTCGCAGAGCTCACTCGCAGCTCAATAGAAGAAAGAAAGAAACAACTGCGTGCATTTTTAATTGTCAGTGAATGAATATGGAGTGACATCTCAAGGCTTCACAGCAAAAACTCTCTTCATAATTTATTAAATCCACACCATCATAAACACGCATATCAGTGGCCTTTCAAAATATACACAATTTAAATGTGCACTTAAAGAGTGGATAGAAGACAAAAATTCTCTAGTCATCAATGATATTGTACTTTGAGAGGCTGGTAATTTGCTTGGTAATGTCGAACATGTGGGATACAGGATGATTAGACTCATGCAGTGTTGATTTGTGTCTATACTTTATAATTGCTGTGACAGGTTTTTGCTTGTATTGTTGTGCATTTTTATATACTGTTATAAAGTTTGTGGTCAGAAATCTCTTATGGTCACCAAGGCTGTATTTATTTGATCAAAAACACAGTAAAAACAGTTATATTGTAAAACATGATTTTACTTTAAAATAACTTTTCTATTTAAATACATTTTAAAATCTAATTTATTCCTGTGAAGGCAGAGCTGAATTTTCCATTACTCCAGTCTTAAGGGTAACATGATGCTTCAGAAATGCAGCTTAATATTTTCGTGGAAACCGTGGTGGATTTTTTCAGGTTTATTTAATAAATAAAAAGTTCAGAAGAACAGCATTTATTTGAAATAATGTTTTTGTAACAATATGAAAGTGTTTAAGGCATCCTTGCTTAATCAATGTATTAATTTCTTTAAAAAAAAAACTTAAATACCACAAAATGTTCATCTTTATTGTAGGCTATTTAAAAATGTAAAAAGTACCAAATTACAGATTCATTCAGTGCTGTTATATAATTACAACATTATGTAATATTGTTATAAAAATATTATTATTAAGTAATTATAATTCAAAATGTTATCAGAAAATATTAGTGTTTTTTGCCCATGCAAAACTCACCAATACGGTGCTAGGGTGTTTAGAGTGGTTGCTAGAGTGTTCTGGGTGTTTTTTTTTTATTACCGGCACAAATTTTATTCTGGTCCCTAGCTTGGGTCCCTCCTTTAATATAAATCTGTCAGCAACCAAGCGAAAATCATAAGCTCAGTTGCTTAGAGAAGTAATAGCACCCCTCTCCTCAATAAACGGCATGGTTTGAGATGTCCAAATCATGCATGTCTGTAACATGACTTTTGAAGGACCATTAAATAACTTTTTGTGTTTGTTTTCCAGGGCAGGAGCAGCCATGCCTTTTGGCTGTTTGACTCTGGGAGAGAAGAAGGACTACAACAGTCCTTCAGAGGTCACTGATAAGTATGACCTGGGACAGGTAGTGAAATCGTGAGTACAAATCTATGGTTTTGTCTACCTCTTGTTTATTGTAATCTTTCTGTGCAAAATATCCGTTTGTGAAAAATGCTCCTTTTTAACACTTTTCTAATTTTAATATAGTTTTTATTTATTTATTTATTTATTTTATTTAATTTTCATGAATTTCTCATTTCCAAAAAAAAAACTTTTATGTTTAAATTAGATTCTGAATCCCAGATTTTCAGTGTTGACTCAACAGCACTGTATATGTGTTTTTATTGTCTTCATCAACAGGGAGGAGTTTTGTGAAATCTTCAGGGCAAAGGATAAGAACACACTGAAAATGTACACCTGTAAAAAGTTCCTGAAGAAAGATGGAAGAAAAGTACGGAAAGCAGCCAAAAATGAGATACTCATCCTGAAAATGTACGTTTTACATGCATGTTATTTATATGATCCACATTTTAGTGAAGAAAGGTGCTTGCAGATGTTGAAATTTGCTCAGTGTTGAAATTTGTTTAACACGAGTAGTAGAATGCGGTCGACTCTTTACCATGCAAATTATTTTATTTTTGCAGATAGTCATGATTTCATTTCACTTTCTGCTCTGCTTCCTTTCACAGTGTCACAGTTTCTCTCTTGCTTTCTCTCTGTCTCTCCCCGCAGGGTGAAGCATCATAACATCCTCCAGCTGGTAGATGTCTTTGAAACTAGAAAAGAGTACTTCCTCTTTCTGGAGCTGTAAGTTCTTTGAGGTTTTTGTGTGTGAGAGTGAATAAGAAAGTACAAGAGTGTGAATGGATACTTTTTGTTTTTGTTGTGTTCAGATTTTAAAAGCATAATTGAACCAAAATGAAAATTCTGTTATTATTTACTCACCCTCAGGTTGTTTCTTTTTTTCTCAAGATGGATAGGGATGTGGAATATAGAAAATACTACTTTTTATCTATATTAAAGTGGATTTATTTATTTGAGATTGGGGTGTAGTTGGGACAATTTCTCAACTCATTCTCGACTCATTCTCTTGTATCTTTATCCTGTTAATATTGTAAAAGTTCAGTGAACAGATTAAGTAAATAAAAACATAAATAAAAAATCAGTGGGGACTGTGGTTTTCAAGCTGCAGATGGTTTAAATGTTGACAATTTTTATTATTTCTTTACATAAATATGCATTTGCTTCAATTCGTATCTTGATCACTTTTTCTATAAACTAAAAAGACATCTTTCTATGATCATCATTATGCTACAAGGACAAATTTGACTCACGTGAATATTTGGTTTGACTGTGTTTTTTTTTTTTTTTACTTCAGAGCCACAGGAAGGGAGGTGTTCGACTGGATCTTAGACCAGGGCTACTACTCAGAACGGGACACCAGCAATGTGATCCGGCAGGTGCTTGAGGCTGTGGCTTACCTGCATTCTCTCCACATTGTTCACAGAAACCTAAAGGTGACCTGGGCCTTTACTACCATCTAATGGTCACCACATGGTATTGCACCAGAATGCAGTCTCAGACACTACAAAGTTTCAGGAGACAGAGGTTAATTAGACACCTTAAAGGGTTATTTCATGCCATAAGGAAAATTATTATATTATAATTGTCATGTCTTGCATCTCTTGTTTTTTAATACAATCCTGAACATTTCTGATTCTTATAAAGACAAGGTGCAAGGTGTTTTTTTTGTAAAAAAGTTTTTTTAGGTTTTCTAAAATTGATTGCACTACTATATCTTCTCACCCCGTCAGCTGGAAAATCTGGTCTACTACAACCGTCTGAAGAACTCCAAAATTGTAATCAGCGATTTTCACCTGGCCAAACTGGAAAATGGTCTTATCAAAGAGCCATGTGGCACACCAGAGTACCTTGGTAAGAAAAAGTGTCAAAGCTTTCAGAAGTAACTGCACCCTATGTTATGTATTATGATTATTCATATAAATATATTGATATGATTATAATATATTTAAGTTAATGATGTAAAACTAATCTATTTAAGTTACTTAAAAATAACAATGTAGAATATAGCCAATGAATTCAGTACACATCAAATGTGATTTTTACTATAAAAAATGTGTAAAATATTTTTTAAATAATGATTAATATGTGTGTGCTAAAGTGCTTTCATGGTTTGAGGAAAATATTTAACTTTTTAATTGATGGTTACACCACTTGCAATGTTTTGCAAAAATGTATTAAACCAACATGAATACAAAAATGACATGTCCAAGAACACTATAATATAATATAGTGTTTTGCACTATATTATATTATATATTTGTCATTTTCTCTTTTTCTCTTATAGCTCCAGAGGTGGTTGGCAGACAGAGATATGGCAGACCGGTGGACTGCTGGGCCATCGGGGTGATCATGTACATCCTGTGAGTTCATGTTTCATTTTTTTATACATTTCATTCATTGTGTAAGATGGTCCAACATATTCATTTCATTGTGCTCTTGAACCAGATCTTTGTTTATTAGTAGACCCCATAGATGTCTGTTTTGGAGTCACTTGCCTGACGCATCCATGAGGTCATCCATAGTTCATCAGCATTTACATTCCATTTCCTGTAGTCACATTGCATGGTAGCTCATCATTGCCACTCTGTAAGTTCACAGTATCTCCTGTATCTGTTTCCCTTCTTGATCTCTCCACAACAATCAAATGTTGTTCATATGGTATTGTTGTCCTAATTAAACCCTTGCCCTAGGAAATTTTAAGGCTCTGGTCATATGTGTGTTCACAGTGTGTTTGTGTGTTCTACTCACTGCTGTGTGTGTGCACTTGGATGGGTGAAATGCAGAGCACAAATTCTGAGTATGGGTTACCATACTTGGCCACGTCACTTTCACTTTATAATTTTCAACAGACTGTCAGGAAACCCACCTTTTTATGACGAGACAGAAGATGACGATTATGACAATCATGATAAGAACCTGTTCCGGAAAATTCTGTCTGGAGACTTTGAGTTTGACTCACCCTATTGGGATGACATCTCAGATTCAGGTACAATACACAAATCACTGCACAGTAGGTGTGGGGTGGATCTGTGGGATTCTGATCTGATCAAAACATAAATTCAACCTTAAATATCTGCTTTGCAGCAAAAAGCCTAGTCACATGTTTAATGGAGGTAGACCAGGACCAAAGACTGACCGCACAGGAAGCTATCAATCATGAGTGGTAAGGAGCCTTTGTCAGTGCAGAATCTGCATTTTATAATTTATCTGCAGTTTAATTAAAAAATAACTGCTGTACATTTTTTTAGGATATCTGGAAATGCCGCCTCAGACAAGAACATCAAAGATGGTGTTTGTGCTCAGATCGAGAAAAACTTTGCTAAAGCCAAATGGAAGGTAAGGTTTCAAATAAATGCTGTTCTTTTGAACTTTCTGTTGATCAAAGAATCCTAAAATAGTGTATCATGGTTTCCACAAAAATACTCAATATTGATAATAATGAGTAATATTACTTGAGCACCAAATCAGCATATTAGAATGATTTCTGAAGGATTAATTGACACTGAAGCCTGGAGTAATGGCTAATGAAAATTCAGCTTTGACATCATAGGAATAAATTACATTTTAAAATATATTTAAATAGAATTTTGAATTGTAATATTATTTCACAACATTACTGTTATTTCAATAAGTTTATGTACTAAAATGTATTAATTTGTTAATCATTTAAATTATTATTTTTAGTTAAACATATTATATTAAAACATTATTAATATTATTATTATTATCCAGAAAGCTGTTCGAGTTACCACCATGATGAAGAGACTCAGGGCTCCAGATCAGAGTGACTCTGGAGCCTCTAGTCCTGCAATGGGAGCCTCAGGCAGTACCCCTGTTCCCCTGGCTGCCACACCAGTGCCCGCCTGCACCACCCTGGTTGGCCAGGATCACCCCGAGGCCCAGACAGAAGAGTCTTCGGCTCCAATGCGGTGTAATGGAGAGATGTTGACATCCCAGCAGCGTAGTGGAGACTAGGGAGAATTAGAATGGCTGATTACATTCAGACAAATATAGTGGCAAACAGAGCAGCACCTACACACTACATATAAATTCAGTTCAGTTGTTCAATTAAAGTTCAATTGTGCTTAAAAGCTTGATCACCATTTTACATTTTCATTTGTGCAAAATGCTGTAATCTAGGAAGACTTTAAAATTTTAATCCCAGTCCCATAGTAGTCTATCTGTATTTTCTTAAATAGCTTTATCAAAGAAATATTGTTTGTTACTTCTGAAATAATAATCTGTGATTTAATTTCCATTGTTAATTCAAACCAATTCAAAAATTCCTCTTCAAACCTTTGCTACCATCTTTTTAAGGGTATTATACAAAATAAGATCCAGTACCTGCATGAAGTTTATTTAGTTCTTAGATTTACTTTACAAAAATGTAATTAAAAGTTTATGCGGTTCAATTATTTTCAATTTTATTTATTACATGCCTGAAATTTGCAGGTGGAAAACTGATATTTTCTATACATTTGTTTTTTCCACATTGCAAAGAGCAAATGACCATTTAAAAAAAAAATACAGCCTGAAAAGATGAATTTTAGAGCCATTAAAGAGGATAATTTACTTAAACAAACAAAATTAAAGCAGCAGAATATTGTGTCTGCATAAAAAAAACTGTTGGACTTTGATGTAAAATGTCATATAGACCTTTATCCAAATGTCTGTTTGATCCGGAAGAGCCCAGCTGCTGAATTACAATTCATATCAATATTTTATGACATAATATTAGCTAACCAGCAACTAAAACCGCTGCTGTATTTCATTCATGTACATGTCATTATGTTTTTGTCAATACTATCATCATATCAATATAATATTACTTGGTGTTTCTTGGTGTACTGCTGAATCATGTTTCTTTTTCTTTTGCTGTACAATCTTTACAGAAATTATGTAGCTCTTTTGATTCAATCTGCCCTTATATCCGTATTCTATAGAGTACTGCATTTTATATAGAATACAACTGGTTTCATTGAGTCTGATACATTGAGGCCTACGGGTTTCCAGAACGTTCTGTAAATGTGCAGTACAAACAAAGCAATAGGAATATTGCTGTAATACTGTGAAACTGCTATACAGATGATAAGATGTTCCTGCCATATTTCATACAGGTAGCCAAGCAATTTGCTCTTGATGGTCGTTTGTGTACTCAATCTTATAGCTGTATATTATGTTCAGTTATTGTATTCTGCCAAAAATCCAGACCTTATTTTTACTGTCCATGTGGAGAGAGATGAATCAAAATGTCTTTAAACTGCAAATCCTGCCGTAGCTCATGTCCATTATGGCATATTTATTTGTTTATTGTTGTTTTAATTGTCTTTAGCATGATCTCATGTTTATTTTTAAGCATTAGCTAAATATACTCCCCATTGTAGCTTCACTGAGTTTTATCTGTCAGTACTATCTAAGTAATGTAAAAGGAACAGACGTACATTTTGTTTGACCTCTGTGTGCATTAGTTTGACCTCAACTGAAAACCAGAATTTTCTCCTGTTTATATTTTCCTCTTTAGGATGCACTGACTCTAGACTCTGTAAACACTGAAATATATTTTCTGAGAAAAGTTTTCATAGAAGACAGAGCAGAAAAATAGGTGATCGTGTCAGTTCAGAGTACAATGTGTGATTCATCATTTTCATGTATCAGCTCAGCATTATGTGTTTGTCACTGTTTGTGGCTTCTGTATTTTGTTACTCGATATGCAGAATAAATGTTTTTGGACAGTGTAAGTTTCCACGGTGGTTCTTATTTCCGGTCTAGTACTAAATTTAAATAGTACATTTTGCATAAAGTCCTCACCTATGTCCCCTGATTCACTGCAATTGCTAATTGAGTAGGCTATAGTGAATGTGTAATGGCTTAAAGAATTATGGCTGCAGTAAAAATCCAATTACATGTATAATACTTTTATTTATAATGCAGTTACAATACTTTTTTTTCGACAGACATATTCTAATAAAATTTGGTATGTGATCCTTTCATATGGTAACATATTTTTGTTTACTGAATCTTAAAACTTCAACTCCCAGAAGCCCTCATTCACCGGAAACGGAGTATGTACTTTTCCGCCTCTTTGTCGGGAAACCCAGAAAAAAACCTGCGAAAAGATCGCTACAAGCTAGGTGAGACGTCTTAAAATGTCTTTACAGACATTAAGGTGAAGAAATAAGCCACTGTTGTTTGTAGCTTTTTGTAAAATAAAGATTAACGAGAAAACGTTTACTTCGTCCATTGATGTTAGGAAAATGTCTTGATTGAAAGCTAAAATTAGCACGTTAGCCTTCTTTTATGAGGGCAGGTTTATGAGATGAATAAAGCAATACCTTGCCTTCTTAATATATATTTGAGTACATGTTTATCACTCTCACACAACGGTGTATTTGACATCTAATTTTATTTCATCGCATTTAGTTACTCACATTAGCCAGATGTATTGTGTTAGCATGAGGCTTTAACAACGTAACGTTACTTGCTTTTCAATCTGAAACGGTCAGTTCCAATCTTGTGATATTATATTAGACGGTTTTATAAGCCCTCATCGTGTTATGCAAATATGAAATAACAGTTCATTTGATTGCATTTCACCTCTAGAGCGTGTAATGGTTAATGGATACGTGTAATTGTTTCGATGAAAAAAAAAAATACCGTTATTTTAGAATTATTTGTTCGATTGAGGCTTTAAAGCCAGGACGTTTAGCGAAGTTACAATAGAATACATTAATTGATGTTTAATGATAAGGTATTTATTGATTTCCCAAGTGAAACGACGTTCTGCACTCGAAACTCGTGCTAAGGGAGAGTTTCGAGGAGAGGAGGAACACGATGTGGAACGGTTCAAGACCTGGACCTCGAGGAGAAATGCCCTTTCGGTAAGAGTTCTTAGATGAAGTACAGTTCTAAGACTATATACTTTATCAAACACACAAAATATGTAACCAATATACTATGTTCCTAAGGTTTTCTTACTGTGGGACATGCAACCTAAAACTTAAGTCAAAACTAAATGGCAGATCTAAAATGGCTCAAATTTATCGCACCTGCAATTAATTGTCTGTCAGTGTGCATTTCACATTTAAAAATATCCAAAGTGCCACATGACATAAGAAATCTTCTATGAAATTTGTCTTAGTAACATCATGGCCAAAGTGTTGGTGTGTGTTCCAGGATGTAATAAGAAAGAATCTACAAAGAAGTGCAAAATTTATACAGTACACTATTATATTTTATGTAGATTGGTTTTATTTTAAAACTTGCAATGAATCTTGGGATAGGCTGGGCCACAAAGGATGCATTTGTTTTATCTTTCATGGCCCAGAAAACAAAGGACACATTTCGAGGCCGCATTTGATGTCGCCTTCATCGAACTGCTGTGACGCATTCTTGGAATGCAGTCTTTGAAGGATGCAGCCTCTGAATTGGGACACAGCTTGTATGTTTTGTGAAAAAGTAAATAGATTGCTCATTTGCAGCAATGCTTCTGATTTTATTGCAGTGGCGAACCTCGTGGAGGCATGTTTGAAGGCAGAGATGGCCCAAGACCTGACTTCAGAGGTCGGGATGGCATGAACATGGATAGGTCACCTATGGACATGAGACGGTTCGACTGCCCACCTGATATGAGAGGACGAGACATGGGTCTTCATGACCGAGGAAGAGAGCCTTCCCGAGACTTTTTCAGACCTGGAGATGAAATGGAAATGAATTTTCGAAGGCGCTTTGAAATGGATCAGAGAAACAACCTTCAGAATCCTCCAGGTTTTATGGGTCAATCCAGGCCACCGATGGATATTGGTGGCAGAGACATGCAAGGTGGTAATATGAGGGGTCCAGAGGACGGATTCTTGAATATGAGGGAGAGGGAGAGATTCCAGATGGATATGCCTGGGCTTCCCCCCATGGACATCAGGAGGAGACTTGCTATGGCGGCTATGGGTGGAAATGGAGATCATGGGGACATGAGAGACAGGGATAGGCCACGGATGGGTGGCATTGATGGGTTCAACATGGACATGCCTCCCAGAGACAGACCAGTGATGGATTTTGACAGACGAGGTGTCACCCCTCCACTTAATCCAAGAGGAAGGTTTGAATCTGATATGGATCTGAGAAACCGCATGGGATCCTCCAATGATTTCAGAGAGCAGCCTCCTCAGATGTTTCGAGACGATGGCGTTCCAATGGATATCAGAGGAAGACCTGTTATTCCTTTGGGTCGTGGTGGCCCAGAACCCATGATCAGAGGCGATGAGATGACCCTCAGAGACAGAGAATTCCCAGAGCCGATGGACAGTCCCATGGGCTTCAGAGAGAGAGAAAGTGAATCGCTCTCAGACGAGTGGCGCAAGCATGGCATGAGAGACCGTGACCCTCTTCCGCCGATGATGGGCAGAACGGCGCCACTTTTCCCGAGAGAGATGCAAGACAAGTTATTCTCTAACCGTGGAAAAGATGTAGACTTTGGAGAACATTCCCAGTTCAAAGACAGAGACCGAGACAGGCAGTCTGGGTTTCTGGGAAAAGACGGCACAGGCTTTAATCGATCAGAAAGAGACTCCAAACACCAAAACTGGGAGAAGAATATTCCTAGTGATTTCCCAGTCAGAGATCCAACTCAGAAGCCCTCCCTTCTTCCACCGGATCCCCCTCTAAATGCCCAAAGTAGAGATGGAGATAAACCCTGGCCAGGTGACCGAGATGAAAAGCCTGACCGAACTGCACCAGTGGGAAGTAGACCTCCATTTTTCCAAGACAAGAACAAGCCAAATCAAGAGCATCGTTTTGCAAGTGATAGAGTGCCCTTTAAAGATTCCAGTGACATGGCTTTAGATCAGGGACCACAGAAAGAGAGCTTGATGTCCGGGCCAAAGGAACCCCAGGCTAATAGAAGTGAGGGTCAGGATCAGGATTATCGAGACATTGATTACCGCACCAGCTCAGGGCGCAAATACGACTACAATCTTGAGGATCTTCAAGGACCTGAGAAAGACGTGAATGAATCCAAACTTGGTCCAACTCAACGACTAGACGACTCTGGTTCTCAGGTTAGATTTTGTCTTTTGTTTTTCTTTAATGGAAAGCAAGAAAAGCTTCTATTCAACTACAAAATGATTCCAATTAGCAGTATGTATATACATTTATTATGTAAATAGGATAAAAAAAAAATTTTCTCTTTTGCTTTTTCATCAGCTTAATATTTTTTATCCCCAATGGGGGAAAAAAAAACA